CTCCCTGTCATTACCTTAAATATTATATATGCGGGAATCAACCATCTGTTGATGTTGGTGGTTGCTACAAACAGTATAAACAAAGAGAAATATGTAAAAGAAGGAGATGGTCTTTAAGACATGAGTAGTTTTCCATGAGAACAGAGAGTATGGGTGATACTTGAAAACGGAAGCCTGGAGTGAAAGCTGCTGTCTCTAAATTGTACGCAATCTCCTCGGTTTACACAATAAACACATGGTAGAAGGGGGAAAATCTAAACACAGAAAGGATGCATGATTCACCCCCCTACAGCAACAGAGTGCTTGGAAACTAAGAGCATTTGGCTACAAATACTCATATATGAAATAGAATTTTGCCTGTGTTGCATATCCCTGTGACAGGCTGAGCGCTCTGGAGGCATTCTAAATAAGTTTATACTGTCCTCTAACCTTGCATAGAACTCCTTAGTACATATTAAGCTGTAAAATATCAAGTAACCCATTTGCTCTAGTGGTGCAGACTTATCTAAAAATGATAGAACTATTTGTGAAAGACTTCACAATTGCCGTGGCTATTAAAACCTAGATGAGTTAAGGTCAAATGGGGTAACAGATGCATTTTTAACAAAAAGACTGAGATTTCTAAACAGCAAAATAAAATTAAATATTAGAGTTTAGAAAATGAAAGATCATTGATTTCCTTGTGTTGTCTTGAATATAAGGAATCCAGGGTACACAGAGGCAAATGACTTAATCAAGGATACTACCCAGTGAAGCCAAAGAATCTTAATCTCCTTGAACAACCAGAGAACAATCCCAGAGCAGTATCACACAATTCCTGAGCAAATAAACAATCTATAGCATATAATTCATAAAAACTACTACACACTTTTACACAATGATCACATTAAATCCTGACAACCCTCAGTGGGCTTTTCCAGATGAGGAGTCAGAACAAGAGAGGTTAAGTAACTTGACCAAGTACACACAGGGAGCCAGTAAGTAAGCTTGGATAAACATGCTCTAGCCACTGGACCATGGAGACTCTCATGAGAGGAGACTCATAGTTAAACTATATTTACTCCATCTTTCCTGTACTATATAAGACCAGGTAAGCCCAAACCTAATTCTGCCTTAAATGATAAAATATAGTTGCTGGTTCCAAAGTGGCCTAGTCACTCCAATCAAATGACAGAAGTACACAGACAAGACCCTCACCTTCCTCAGCTTTCCAGAGACCACTCTTCCTGACCCCAGGAGGAAAAGCAGTATAAAGACCTCCAAACTCTGGTATTCTCTCCCTTCTCCTCCCATTTTTATTCATCAAGGCTGTGACTGGATTTTGAGAGGGTAGGTATGGATGCCTCTGAGTGGGGGCTGAATGCATGTTACAAAGGCTCAAATCCACCTTTTTTCTTCCTCCATTTGGTAGAAGATTAAAATTGGGATTGGAAGTCTAATAGCCACAATTCTACGAGGCACAGAAAAAGTACAGTAGCCATGATTTTATGACAGCTTAGGAAGAAATGTTGGAAGATACATGTGTCATATGACCTCACTGATATGAGGAATTCTTAATCTCAGGAAACAAACTGAGGGTTGCTGGAGTGGTGGGGGGTGGGAGGGATGGGGTGGCCGGGTGATAGACATTGGGGAGGGTATGTGCTATGGTGAGCGCTGTGAATTGTGTAAGACTGTTGCATCACAGACCTGTACCTCTGAAACAAATAATACATTATATGTTTAAAAAAAAAGAAGAAGAAGAAGAAGATAGCAGGAGGGGAAGAATGAAGGGGGGGAAATAGGAGGGGGAGATGAACCATGAGAAACTATGGACTCTGAGAAATAAACTGAGGGTTCTAGAGGGGAGTGGGGTGGGGGATGGGTTAGCCTGGTGATGGGTATTAAAGAGGGCACGTTCTGCATAGAGCACTGGGTGTTATATGCAAACAATGAATCATGGAACACTACATCAAAAACTAATGATGTAATGAATGGTGATAAACATAACATAATAATAAAAAAAAAAGAAAGAAATGTCGGAAGATCCGTGAGAAGAGGTGATGCACCACGGTCTCAACTCCTAGCCTCGGCTCTCCCCAGCTGCGGGTCAAGAGCACTCGACTGCGAGGAAGGGCGCTAGAGGTCAGGGAAGAAACAGAGCCAAACAAACAGGATGCTAAATCCTCTCTGAGGCTGCTCCCCAGGCCACTCTGCACCACTGTGAACTGTACCAGGACACGTGGGACGTGAAGAAAGGAAAGTGAACAAGAAGAACAAAATCCTCACAAAATGTGCTCTAACAGAATAACTAAGAGCATCATTTCAGGGCGACACATATACAGGCCACTGCTTGCCACGGACCTATCCTTGGGTAGGACCTAAACTTGGGTACTAATTCTAAGAGCAGCGTTTTAGGTTACAAATTAATCCAGCCACTATGGCAGGTAACTTAAGTTACTTTCTTATATTCTTTTTCTTTATGAACTATAAACAAATGTGCATTTGAAAATATTAAGGACTAGCTCTTGTGTTTTAAATTTTTTACATTCAAATTCCTATAACCAAGTTCATATTTGCTTCACTTGAACCCCACCCTCTTACCTCCAACCCCAAGAGTACTTCTCAGGTAACTCCTTTGGATGGTCTGCCTTCAAATGTTTGACACATGAGGAACTATCAGCCATTCGTGTGTCGTAACTGCTAGCTCTGTCACTTTCTGGCATGCAGCGTCCCCTTCATTTATATGTGATACATACACAGAGAAGAACACGATTTGATTTGAAACTGACAGCTGTTTGTGCTTTTATGTGCAATACTTGATTAAAGAAACCTAAAAATTATTTACTCGATCTTCCAAGATAAGGAACCTGCTTCCTAAGTGGGGGTCAAGATAACTGCAGAAGCAAATGCATTTTTCAGCTGTTTTGGAACAGAAAAGCTAATGTAGCTCCTCCAAAAATGCTTTATATAAACTCAAGAGAAGAACTTGCCAAGGTGGCTTTATGTAGCCCATGGGACAGTTAGCAATGTCTGCAAGACAGTTCTGGTTGTCACAGCCAACAGCAGGAGGGGTAGGGAATGAAATGCTATTACCATCTAGTGGGTGGAGACCAGACATGCTGCTAACCATCCTACAATGCATAGGACAGTCGCCCACAACAAAGAATTATCGGAAACAAAATGCGAGTAGTGCCAAGGTTGAGAAGTTCTAGTGCAAGTTTGTTGCTGATTTTCAAACTGTGCATTTCCAGAGAAGCCTATCAATGACACTCAACACATAGATACCTCAACATCATGATAGCTATTCTGAGGGGTCTTCCCCCACCGGGATATCTGTTCACAGAAGAATAACCATAGCAAGTCTGGTAGTTATTCAACAGGAAATTCATCTCTTTTTTCTTCCACTTACTCCCATGGCTTCAATCTGCCACTTAGAGGCAGAGCCTCTCCTAGTCAAGCTTTCTCCGTATCCCAAACTAACATCAATCTCTCCCTACTCCCCAGCTCTGCCCAACCCTTCCCTCCTCCACTCTATGTCTTTGTTCCCAGCCTTGGCGAATGGCACCACTGCTGACTACCACTCCAGTGGGAGGCCTGGATGGCCTGGGCTCATCCCTCTCCCCAGGACGGTCACTATACTTTGCACATAATTGGCATTTTGTCCAAATGTGGAATTCAAATCGATCATTTTTCAGACCGATTTATATAAATGGTAAGCCCAACGAAGTCTAGAGAAAAGTAAAACTATGCAGCGGAGAGTGTAGTTCAGTTTAAAAAAAGAAATAGCACATTTGGAAACATTTCCCATGTTCACACAACAGGAAGAGTCACAGACCCAAAAAGAACCAAAGAAGCCCCAGGACATGGCTTAAAGAGTGGAAAAGATGTCAAGATAACAGATGAGACTGACTATGTAGGGTACTGAGTCTAAGCTTACTTTGTTTAAAAAAAAAAAATTAAAAATCAAGCTTCCCAGGCATGAATATCTCAAAGCAATGAAACGAAAGAAAACTATATGGAGGAGAAATAAGAGTACAGCAGGAGTTAGTAAGAATTTAAAGATAACAACCTAACACTTGCATAGAGTTGAAGTTGACAGCGTTCACATAGATTATCTCACTTCCTTCTTTGAAAAACTCTGAGGCAAGCAGGTCTTAGAGCATTCTGAATGCTAAGTAGCAGAAAGCATCCAAAGCGCCCTGACGCAGCCAGGTCAAGTGGCCCCCAGCATCACACACACATCCGCTAACACAGCCGTGAGCAGCCACTCACAGTCATGAGCATTCCAGCAGCTGCTATTTCAGGAATGGAACAGGGGTCACTTCAAGAACCGTTTCTATTCATTTTACATCTCCAGTAATAGAATTTGGTTGGCTGCTGACATCCTTCACTGAGTCTCCAGAAGTACAGACAATATACTTTATTGTCACAAGTGAGTCACTCTGTTTGTTTAAGAGAGAAGATTCTGGAAGCTTTCAATAAATTGTAAAGACATCCAGGTGAATCAGAGAGGAGTCAGAATTTAAATTTTGGCCAACAGTTTCCCCTCAACACCTAACATTAGCTCACCTGTAACACATCTTTGACAAACTAACAATTCTGTTTATAAATATGCGTGGATATCAGCCTGACTCATCACAAAGTTAGGGCCGTAAATGATTGAGGATTCCTCTCCTGGTGTGTAACAACTCAGCTCTAAGCAATGAGAGTTAACAGAATAGTATTTTTGAAATATCACCTGATTTGTTTTTTATTCTTACTGATTTTGTTGCTACCCAGTAAAGCTGAGTCAGCTTCAGCTTTGGGGGACAGGCAGGCACAGCAAAGAACAAAGACTTTGTTGTTCAGTTCTAACTTTCCAAATAGAATTTTTATTATTTTTTCAAAGATTTTATTTATTTATTTGACAGAGAGAGAGACAGCGAGAGAGGGAACACAAGCAGGGGGAGGGGCAGAGGGAGAAGCAGGCCTCCCGCAAAGCAGGGAGCCCAATGCGGGGCTCAATCCCAGGACCCTGTGATCATGACCTGAGCCAAAGGCAGACGCTTAATGACTGAGCCACCCAGGCACCCCCCAAATAGAATTTTTAAGATGAGATCAGCAGAAGCAATAGTCTTGAAACCTGCACTCTGTGCTGCAAAAGCTTGAGAGAGAAATGGTACGTTTTGATGTCCCAAAAGCATTTGACTTGGAACATCTAGGATTGAGAGTTCATATGAAAGTTACTCATAGAATATGATATGATAATAGCATAACATGATATTAGAACAGTCTTCCTGCTTCTAGGAAAACAGACAAAGTCTGATTGGCTGGTAGGAAGAGGTAAGGACCAAGGTGTCTAACTAGAGTTCAGACGATACCTGGGTGTTTTGAAGGTATATATATGCAAGTGAATGCCTGGAGGGAGATAAACAGGAGATGGGGTGGTAAGACGGTTAAAAAAAAAGTCAGACTGAAGAGGGTATCCACAAACATTAGGGGCTTGTGCTCAGCTTCCTATCTAAATACCTCTGGGAGAACCATTTTGATGGGTCCTCCAAGTCAGTATTGGGTAGATAACAAAGAGCAGTAATGGTTGCAAAGGGTGCTGAATGGGATTGAGAGCTCTGAGCTTCCCTGTCATTCTGGCTTTAGTGAGATGTGAAAGGAATCCAAAAACATTCCCATGGCCCCTTCAAGGGAGGTCTCATAGAGCTCTTGTTGCCGCAATGCGGGAGGGGCTGGGTATACTGAACATGGAGAACGATGGGGCTGGCCAATGAATCAGCAAACAGTCATCATGGTTTCAGCTTACCTAAAAAAAAAAAAATTAAATAATCAACCATAAGATGCCCCAGCTACTGACACAGCAATAGGAATAACATGAAGACAAAGGCAAAGCTCAATCAGGATAAGACACATGGGAAAGGCTGGGGAGGCCCGGGGGACAAATGGATGGATGGACACCTTCCTTCTTCCCTACACTGAGACTATCTGGAGTATGTCTGGGGTGTGGGGGAGGGTGGGAGTGTAGGAAGAACCACAGAATGGGAACAGCTCTAAGAATGACTACGAGTTTTGCATTACATCTTGCACTTGACTGAGTTTTTATTCCCAAGTGCTAAAGAGAGGTTAACGTAAAGTAGCAATATTCTATGTTGCTCACTACTAGCAGAAAAGGAGGTTCCGGAGCTAAACTGAGTTCAGTTACAGAGAAATAAAGTCACACTTCTGCACCCCCCCAAATGTATACATTGTATATTGCTGAACAGTTTAGAGTTTTCACAGGTTAGAGAATCACAAATTATTATATCAAGATTATCTTAAAGCATGATTCCCACATGTTGGTTTTAAAATGTCTTCCTTTCTTTTATTTTAACAAGATAACACTCATCTCTCTTCTGAATTCATTAGAACTGAGAGTGGAAGGACAGGGTAATGCCATACAGGGGCTGCTCATTCTCTGGGACATTCTTTAACCTAGCCCTAGAGTCAATACTCTGTCTAATAGTACAGAGAACTCCACTTGGAAATAATCATTTGCTATCCCAATTATTCTAACACTATCAGACTCAGTTCAACTTTGTAACTGATAGTACAAATGAATGGAATATTGAAACTTAAAATGATCTCCATCACGCCTTTACCAAGTAACTACACAGTGACCAGATGCAGAGGGGGACCCAGTAAGGAAGGAAGCTCAAAAAGCTACAAATGAATGTGTCCCAGCCTCTGGCTTCATCTACTTTTTGTTTCCTGGCCTTTTAGGAGAAATTTTCTCTCCTCTCCTACAGAAAACCTTTCTTGAATTCTACTTCGGAAAACTATCTCCCTAAGATTGTTATCTGTTCCAGCTCTGTGTCCCCGCAGCAACCTTTTGATAAACATTTTCTTGGCATTATCAGAAAATACTAATACTGTTGTGTGGCTGATCTGTCTCTCCCAAGAAGACAGTGTGAACATCTTTAAATCCCCAGTCTCTAATTCAGGTGACTTTCTGTGTCAAAGTGGTGAACACCGTTCTAAGTACTTTACATACGTTATAATTCAGTTCATCCCCCAAATAACAACAGAGGATTAGGACTACCATTACCATGTCCACTTCAGAGATGAGGACACAGACGTACAGACAGGCAGAATAACAGAACCGAGTATCAAACTCAGGCTGCCTGGCTCCAGAGTAGATGCTCAATAAAAGTTCGTTTGAACTTTTGAGTTCGAAATTGAACTCAAGCTGGAAATCCAAAGTTCCCTTCTTCCAGATATTGCCGTTGGTCAGCACATTTTAAACCAATAGTCCATGAGAATGCAATTAAAGACACACTGTATCTTTTGTTGAAATAATTTGTCTGCTATATTACAGATGTCTTTCTTCCACTGCCATACTCCTTCACTTTTTCCAAGATATCCTTATTTTCTTGAGCCAAAATCATAATAATATAATGACTTTTGTCAGCTTCCACAAGGCTAGCTTTTTGGTAGAGAAGAAACTAATTCTTTCCATGAGCTGTTAAAAGACATTATCTGTTACTATTGTAGTAGACACACACATACATAAAGTACAGACCACACAAACAAAACGCCTGTTACCCATTTTTCCCTCAGAACAAGGACAATTTTGTTCTCCATTTATATAACAACAACAAAACAAAAAGATTTATGACTAATTCTTTTAATGGTAATTTTAACAGTATTTTTTTTATATAATTATGTTAGGATCCTTCAGGAATCAAATCCTGAGCAACCCCTTTTAGAATCTCTGTGGAATAATACCTCAAAAGGAAGCTTCATTTTCTTTCTTTCTTTTTTTTTTAAAGATTTTATTTATATAATTATGTTAGGATCCTTCAGGAATCA